GAATGATAAAAAATTTTATTACAGCCATGTGGGGTAGGATAACTCCATCCTTCGCTTGCATTACGACATTAAAAGAAAGAAGAATAAAATGAAAATTGTGGGACATAGGACAAATATTCTGTAAGTCTAAGGATCAATAAATATTGAAGTTTGGATATTCAACGTCTACGATGGCCTTTGAGTCAGTTTTATTTAATGAAATTAATTTTTAGATACTTTTATGGAAAATAATGAAAATTTTGAGATTTATCGTTTCAAAGGGTGCTGTTCGTATTTCAAAGTCATCGGGGTCACGTGATTCGTTCAAACAATCGGTTCGTGGTCAAGGAAGCACCTATCGAAATTGAATGAGATTCCATGGCGCCGCGGTTGCATTATGAAAATTTCAAGTGGCTCGAGATATTTAAGGGCTTATGGAGAAGAGATTAAAAGAAAGACTACCAGTTAGGAGCGATGACGCAGTGACTTTTTTGAGAGGCAAAAATTATCTTGTCGAGATTTTGATGAGCCCTGGGTGGTCCGCCTCATGCGTGCCTATCTCGACACGAAAACCAAAATGTGTTTGTATAATAATTAATAAATTTTTCCTGTGAAAGTCACGCGGCACGCAATGATCTCGCCCACGTACAAATCCAAAATTTATATAATAAATAATAATACGATGCGGAGGAACGAATACAGTGAGTCTCAGATTTTTTAATTAAAATACATTGTTTGCCCAAATAACATTTTCTGGAAAATAATTGACAAGGTATAGTTATACATGAGACATTTAATATTTTAATTAGTTTCAATAAAGGTCGACGAGGTCTTACTGTACACTACGATTTTTGGAATAGATTCTTTGTAGTTTTGGATTTTCTCTAATTGTTAACTTAATTAAAAACAAATTGATTAGAACAAAATCTTTCTAACTCGTCAAAAAGTCATATTTTTTCATAATTTAAATGCTAGCATCAACATTCAGGTATATTTCCAAATTATCAAAATATTATGCTTTTTATCAAATCAAATAAGAAACGTAATAAGCGCTTGAGATTATCTGAAATTAATTGCAATTTCTTTAAGTTTTCTCATCCGACGTGTTTTATAAAGGGAAGAAACGCCCGCCGGAAGTGAACCCTCGAAATTAATCAACGTCAACCTTAACATTAGAGCATGTATAATACAATCCAACACCCTTCAAACATAAGGATGAAAAATTTTAGAAATCCAAAAAGAATTACTTTCATTATTAATACAAAGCATCTCTAACACCACTAAATTTCGATGAATACACTTACTTAAAGTAAGGACCAACATTCCCATGCAGTTACATAAATCACACATATGAACAAAAATCAATTTTCAGATTCCCACACACAATGTCACCTCGGAAACATAAAACTAGTCTATAGAAACCACCCGAATAAGGAGACTGAACTCGGGCAGAAATTAACGACCGTAACCAAGGATATCAACCTTCGGGAAAGGATACTTAGGATTAATCAGGAATGCTGTAATTGAATTTAACATCCGAATTGAGTATTTTCGCTTACAAAGAGTATGCAGAGTGCGAAAGGACAGAGTAAAATGGTTAGTACGAAAGAGCTAGATCCTACGGATAGGATGAGAGAGTGTGAGATGAACGAGAAGGAAGAGAGACATAGACCAAGAGAGACGCAGAGAAAGAGAGACAGAGTCATCGTAATTGGAAAAGCTTCGGATTAACAATTTTGCAGGACTCGGCGAAAACGTTCTCGAAAAGAGGGTAACAGCCCGCGGATGGGTCCTTTCAGCTTTGAAATACATAGGTAGTGCGGGCTTTATCAATATTCAAATCGTCCTGCCCGATTAAATCGGCTTCGAGCTATTAATTTTCGTAATTCAGAAATGTAATCCGATTGCACGTTCACTAGGTCCTTTCATCCAGGTGGCCAGACCATATTTATAGGAACAACAACACGTGGGACATCAGGACTCAAGAACCTTAATATGCACTTACCTGCACACTCTTCGATTTCGTTATGACCGCCGGCTAAGTTGATCCTTTCGATTCTGGTTACGTCCGTGTTGCACAAGTTGGGCAGTGTCCAGATTTAATTTTTTTATCTCGATTTAAGACTCATGTGTAATATCAACTGGATATCGCACAAGAGCACACATCAACGAAGACGCCATTTTGAATGTTATCATTGGAGCTTACATTTTACATAGTATTTGAAAAAAGTAAAAAAATTTTTTTTAATACACGAACGAACCATTGCGTTAATTTTTTTTTTTTTTTTAATATTATTATACATTTCGATATGTATGACAATGCATTGACAATATATCTAATGATACTTGTCGTTGAAACAAAGCATTTTTTGACCCTAAAAAATATTCTGAGATGAACGGCACATTGCTCCTTGCTTCTTCAAATTAATTTTCTTACGGTCATTCAAACCGCCGTGGAATCATGAAACGTGGCACTAGCAATTAAGCCTCGTCCGTTTCCCAAGCAAACAGGATCTGGATGGATCGCCCAATTTTCATGGGCAACGGCAAAACTAACCGTTCTCGAGTACTAGTTGCGGCTTTTTGAGTTGTTATTTTTTCGACACTTCTAAAGGATTTCGGCTAATCTACCGGCGAGCGAGGGAGCTCGTTTCGGATATTCTTCAGCGCCTGTGAAACATTCTCATCTGGTTAAACGGAGAGAACACTTTCGTCATTTAACAGACCGTGAACATTTTTATCTTTTTTTTTTTAATTAAAACTTGCAATAAACACAATGGTATTTGTCTTACAAAATAATGCTCTCGTCATCAGATCCAATTAATTACCAATATTTCGATTTTTTAGATATTATAAATGAAATACATATATTATCATTCATTATCGATCAAAATAATACGCTTTCCGAGTATGGTGTATAAAATAATAATAATAATTCTGTAGAGCATCATATGTTTATCCATCCACGAAAATAACTCGTATATACCGATTTCAGATAATGGTGCACTTTGTAGCAATGGTTTTGGAACAACTGATAAAGTACATGTAGATGCAGGTACGCAGATGGATCAACATTATTTATAATTATTCAAAAACGACAATGAGTACAATCCACCAGCATGAATAAGAGGACTCTCCTACCGAGTCACCATTTCATTTCGCGATGTTTGGAGACTATTGAAAGAGAGCGTCTCGTGAGTTTCAGATCCTCTGGAAGAAGGCTTAAGTTTAAGAGTGCAATTTGGCCCGAAGGAAGATACCTGTGTACGTGTATACGTACTTACGTGCTTTCGTACAATGCAACGAATTTACGGCAGGCAAAATCTCTTCGTGTAAATCCTAAGCAAGGGTGACGTGAAGTTGAAAGATGAGGGTTGCTTGCACGATGCTCTCACAACTTTTGGTCCGAGTGCAGCAAGATGCGTTTGCACATCTCTATGCGAGATCCCGAATGAAAAATAAAGCGTGATATATCTGTATACGAGTGTATACAGTGTATCTATTTCTATGTAATTATTGTTAGCCGTAAAAAATAATCTGTATAAATATATATTATGTAAGTAAACAGATAAGTAAATTACATAAGTAAACAAAAAGAAATAGAAATTCAAAGTAGCCAATGTTCAGGATATATACATATTATTTTCTCATTTATCTCCATACGTTTAAGATTATAATACTGTTTGTGTATATAATATAACGATTAAATTTCCGTAAAAATTATTTGACGAGTTTAAATTTTTGTCAGGTATTATAGCGCGAGTGAATATTATTCTGACGTATAATGGCATTGTAAGCAGCGCGAAGTGCATCCCGTCCCACTTGCAGAAGAAGTGCGAGCGAGAAAATAACGTTTCGGAAGAATGGCTTAATTTTGAGACGTCTAGTCTCCCTTTCGAAAATCTAAGTATTTGGACTGTGCGCATCGACGGTCGTGAGTTATCCCCACCATCGCGAATTGGCGGTATAGAACTCTATGATTTCGCGAAAACCTACCGTAAGTGTGAACGCGCTAAGGGTGGGTTTCGTGGTGGACGTTGCGAGGGGTAAGTTATAAATCGATTTACGTCCCGGCCAATGAGGGTTGCAAGTGGCGCGTCGTGATTGGTCAATGCTCAGGCCACTCCTACGTCATTAATAAAGGTGCTAAGCAAAAGCCAGTTTTACAATGCCACAATTTTCGAGATCCTTCGAGCCTCCTCGAGACTTAAGACTCTCTGTTGTCACAATATTTTCAAAAGCAAGACTACAATAGAACAAATTAACAATATTATTAAAACAAGATTGGAAATGAAAAATAGTTTATGTAATTATTTTTCAATAAAACTTTGACTCACTGTAACAGTCAATAATGACGATCCTCGCTCTGGATAAACATTAAAATTACTGAAAAAATCTCCACTCCTAAATTTGAAAGTTCACATTTGTAGGATGTAAAACAATACTCAGCAATAAATTTAAAAAAAAAATTATTTAATCGGTGGTGCAATCGGAATGTACAATCTGCAAACAAGTAATTCCTTTTCATAATACGTGAAAAGTAACCTCAAATTATTAATGACATCCAAACAGTATTTCACGTGTTTGAATCTTTTTACGAGAGATTGTAAGTACAGTAAATGCGTGGCGCATATAGGAGAAATAAAAGTTGACAGAATGCATAGAGCAGTAGGAAGGAATGCACGAGGAAGCGATAACGCCGGAGGGATGAGAAACTGAGAATGAGGAATGAGACATGTGGTATGAGGATGTATAGAGGTAGAGGGAGAGGGTGAGAAAGACTTTCGAAAACTTCCCATCGTGAAACGTGCTGCCGGAGGCGTTACCGAGCAGGCGTGGACCATTCGAGATCCCTCCTTCCGGTTTAACTAGGGCTATGTCTGCCCGGATACCCGGCTCAAAAAACCGACCAATCCGCGATGCGAGACGGCCACTGTTGTGCGTAAAATACGGGGGCTTTATGTCGGTCCGTCCCGCGTGTTAGTGCGTTCGTGAATCTGCCGGGAAAGCGCGCCGGGGGTTCATTCCTTGCACGATCACCCCCGTCAGGAGCTCAGTTGCCCACCGCCGCGACGCCAACACGGTACGCACTTCAGCATCTCGCAAGCCCCGTTGACTCACCTCCACGCGTTCTCAGCTTCTACCTATTTGCTGACCCCGAGCGACTCCTTGACCCTTGCGCTTTTTCGGGATCTTCGTAGATTCGTGCGAGTCGTCGTCTCGTGTGCTACGGTGCTCAACGGTATGGTGATATTGACCTGAAAAAAAAAATAGAAGAGATAACGGAGGATCAAGGAGAAAAACGTTTTGAGGAGAGAAAGAGGAAACGAGAAGAAAAAAATTTAAAAAAAAACAGAAGAGGGTAAACTACTATTGGATGATGATAAAGTAATGGCTTTGCATACCTGATTGACAAATTTTCCAAGATTTCATTCAGTGATAAGGGAAGACGTCGGCTTATGTGATATCGCTACGCATCCTGGGAGCCCCGCGACCCTGCTGCTTGCTGAAGGCACTCTTCAAAGACGTATCGGAAGACAAAGAAAGGGAGCGCATCCTCTGGTTCATCCTATGTCACTTATTGAATTTTCGTTTTGTTATTCTGGTGTGGCTGGCTGCTGGTAGAAAGATACGCCTAGATGGGGCACCGTTCTCAACCATAATTTACAGTGTGCTTGGTAATTATACGAAGGATTAGGCCTCGGTGTCCGTGTCTCCTTATTTCGATTGCTAAGGAGCACGCGAGAAAAGAGAAGGCAGCTCATTGCGATACCGTTAACGACCAAACAAGAAAAGTCAAAGAAAGGGTACAGTTAAAAAATTTCTTGGAGTAGCTGTCGAGCAGGCTCATCGTTCTTTGGAACACGTGGGATATGTCAGGATTTACTCTGGGATCTTGTTGCCGATAAATCACTTATTCGAATAAAGAATAAAGAAAGTATAGTTACCATGGTTTGGAGTTATTGAGAACAAGCTAAAGCTCCATCCCCGGCGGTGTCCTTAACAGGAAGGCTGCGTTTCATAAGAATAAACTCGAACGATTGAAACTGATCGTAGGGTCTTCAAATAACTACTAATAATTTCGTACCTGATTACAACGAACTTCTTCGCAGTCACCGAAAAGAGAAGCAAAGTCCTGAACTTGCGTTTAGGTATACAAACGTAGCCAAGTGAGGAACAAATACAGGAGCAACATCATAACGCGCTCGGGTTGCCGTCGCTAGTTGAAGACTAGCCGAAGGATTTCTCGAAAGCGGCCGTCGGTACCAAAGTCACTGGATTTCAACAGTCCGTCGCTGACATTCCATCGAAGATAAGTCGAATTTTCATAAAAATAATAATTTTATCACGGCTTGTCCTTGCCTACTGGTCGTTCTCGTGATAAGAGTCTAAAACCATTAGATTATGGAGATTTATGAAAATACCTAGGACCATTGATGGTCCTCCACAGAGAATCACGGAGAAATAGAGTTATCAATATATGTTATCGGGTTATATCAGATAAAAGTAAGGGGTCAGAGTATCAACAAACATACCTAGTTCTACCAGAGACTAGTTTTGGAAATTATAAATATTCAAGTCTCATACGGATACACGCCAAAGCGTCGGCAGCCATTACCAGACTGCGTGTACGTTACAAGGGTAATTTCCGAGGGCCTACAAATTTGCAAGAATCTACACTTTTGCACTGCTGATTACCATGAGTGTTCTCCGGTGAGTTCAAAGTGGGACCAGGTAGTAGAAAAGAGGTTCGCGTCATCCTTAACGAAACAAGTAGATAAACGACAAAGTCCAGGAATCAACGGTGCAGAATTACGTTAGAATATTTTGCAAGGTTTTGCATTATTTTGCAAGCAGAAAAAAAGTTATATCGAATCTAAAAAGGTCCAGTGTCGTTCTCGATGAGAATCGCCCCAGCGTATTACGATCTACGTGAGTTCCATTAAGAAGCAAGATCAGACAGATCAATATCCACAAATCAGCGATCATCCAATCGACTGTGCACGCACCTTTAAACATCGAGTAAAGTGTTTTGGTGGTGGTTGTGGTGGTGCGAGAAATTGAACGCCAGCTCGCGTGTACTTATCCGCGTGATAAGCGATGATAGTTTGAGTGTCAAGGACTCGTGGTCGAAGAAGAGTCCAAGATGCCGCAGCGATCGCCATTCGCGATCAAGGAGCTGCTGGGTCTGAATGGAGGAAGTGGAAATGGCAACGGTGGTAGCGATCTGGGATCGCCGCAAGGTTCACCCCCAGCGGGAGTATCGGCAGTGTCTTATGCGCCGACTGCCCCCCATCACAAACTTTGGGACTATATGCCCAGCCTAACTAACCACCTAGGGAATTTAGGCAATCTAGGGAATCTGGGTAACCTGACGGCATCACGGATGGCATATTTGAACGCCCAGGCAGCAGTTGCAGCGGCATTTCTGCCGCCACCTCATCCTCACCCTGCGCATCACGTCGCGCATCACCAGGTCCATCAACCGGGTCAGCTTTCGGCTTCGCCAGGAGTTAACGTACATCCGGCTGCGCACGCGCAACACGTACTTCCGGGCACGTCTGTCGCTGCGAATCATCATCAACACAGCCCAAGTCAACACACACCCCCTCACGGTACGTTAAGGAACTTGGACTTTTCTTTTTTCTTCTTCTTTTATTCTTCCACAGCTTTCTTAAACTGCCTCGAGACTCTTTCTTTTTATTCCTTCTCAACCAGCGAGGTGCCTACATACTCAGTCACCTACTCACCGAGCTCCATATATACTTTTTCCCCTACATTAATAAACGGAACTTGGTTCACTATTTCTTGCACTCTCTCGAAAAGACACTCTACGTTACATTCATATCTCGAACGTATAAGACATTTACTATTGAAACGATTCATTGAAAATTTTAGAGTGTCACGAGTACCAATCGTCTGGCCAATTCTAATGACTTCTATACTACATTATATGTATGGAGATAGTCTAATAAGTGCATGCGATCGATGCTGTGCGGCGCACCGATAAACACGAACGTACGTTTATCCACCTGCATTTGCAATATTTCAGTCAATTAATAGACGTATCATCATCGTCATGTTGTGAAACGAGCACTTAACGCACCGCTTACGCTGGATATCACTTAACGGAGAGCCACTATAGATCATGTTACCGAAAGTAGATACACCTTCTACACTTTACTATTATGTATATATACACCATAAGATATATTCTCTATTGTACTTTGTGGATTCCCTTTAACTTTTCGGAAATTTACCAATAAGGAACAGCTGTCAGTATACGGCTGTAGTTCTGTACCTAGTAAGCAGTCGGCCAGCGAGGATTACTGCAGACTTGCTCAGCTTGCTCGAACCAACTTCGACTCAACTTGACTCCCCACATATTCCACGACATACGGATCCCTCTTGTTAGCGCAAGAAATAATTACCCATTGTCAATTAGCGTGACCGTACAATAAAGTCTCTCTGTATGCCTATCAGAAATACTCACCTTAATAATACTCATATTACTCAATCACCATTGAGAGGTAGTCATTATTTTTTTCCTTTTCTTTCTTTTCTTGGTACAGGCAAACTTTTCGTATGAAGAAGAACTAGATCGTGGCACGTTAACCAACGTTAACGATATACTTGTTGGGAACAAAGAATAATCTCTTAAGGGTTGTTCGTGAAATAGTATTATTCTATCTAGCAGGTTTTGTAGCACCTCATTCATCTCTATAGTACCTTCCTAAAGAGGCATGATTAACTGACTGGATGACACGTTCTCGGGATTCAATGTTCAAGATTTTGTAGGCACTTTGGCTGGGAAACAAGGAATCAAAGTCTAGTCTTCATAAGTAGAACGGTCTTTATTCTTTCTTTTCTACAAGCACACTGTGTTCGCGCCCTAGCGTCTCTGCGACGACTACTACTTTGTCTTCTTACTTCGCCCTCCTATATCGAGACTTCTGCCCTACGCGCGAGAGCTAGGCAACGTTGCTGTGTTCTAGGAAATAGTCGACCGTTGCGCTTTGTTTACATTAAGATGCCTACAATTTTTTTATTTTATAGACACGCGAAATTGTTTTCTGCCATCAAGAGAATCATCGGGTCGGATAACTAGAGAAAGAGATAGGGACGTCGAAAGCGAATGCCGAAGAAGGCTGAAGAGGAGGTTGACGGTGGAGATAGGGGGCGGCGATTGGGAGTGGAAGGAACGGTGGGGTGGACTTGTGGTGTACACTGTGGGAATTGAATATTTTTGTCAGAATAATCGGTACCGTTATGAATAATTAGTGGTATAATGAGTTGAGTGTTGGGCAGACCTGCAATGTCTCACCAAAATACAAAGAACCTCGACAAAACGTAAAAATGGCCGCTCACGGGCAAACTGTTCTCAACCATTCTTCGTTTAGGTTTAGTCTCATTAATCTGGAATACAACCCCACTTGCCACTACGAAGCTAAAGTCCGATAAATGTAATTTCTCCTTGAAAATATTTATCGACAACGAACAACAGAAATTATGAAGACCAATGAAGAAATTTTATTAATGTAAACATAAGTTCGTTATACAGAAATCATTGACAATGATTACGAATAGATATAAATTAAATTAATTAATTAATTAGGGACTGCGAAAATTACAAATTTTATTGGTACTCCGGGCAGTTTTGTATAGTTTGGTTCATAGTTGTACCGGTGCTATTGACTGTATTGTGGGATTATAAAAAAGTACGAAAATTATAGTTTACACCGGTGGGCACGTTTGGACTTAAAGTGGTACATAAGTCGAGGGTAAAATCGATCCTGGAATCGAGAGATCGTACAAATTTACCGTGCCTAGTGAATTTTGAGAACGATTTTCGGGTATCGGGTTTCCTGGGTAACACAAAAGATCTGCCCTTCCATTCAAACGTCACTCTGGCACCTCGTCTTACCGTACGCATTTATTTTACGCACTTTATTCCTTCCTTTTTGTCTTAAATCTTAGGTAGACTTAAAGACGACAGTTCAGACCAAGACCTCACTAGATGCTAACCTATATGACGATTCATCAAAATAATTATATCGATCCTGGTACGGAATGAATTCAAAGAATGGTCGGTCCCTTCGTATACGCGGCCGACGAATTAATACGTGCAACCCTCTACAGACATAGAGAAGTATACAGGGTTTTATTTTCAGGTATACCTTCCAAAAAAAAGACATACCAAAATCATATTAACTTTTTGAAATTTTACTTTCATCGTGACAAAAAGACTTTCGTAGGGGAAATGAATGAAAATGAAAGAGAGCTAGAAGTAGCGCGGGAGAGGCCAATTGAAACGCACAATCGTACGTACGATTGTCGAGAAAATCGCGTGACTCCTGAAAAGACCTGTAGCTTCGTGGAAGGTATAACGGCACGAGCTAAAAGAGGTGGATGGTAAGTCATTGTTTGAGGATTCAGATATTCACGCGATTCAGGCCTTTGCTTTTCTACCAGCTTATATAGGATCGCCTCTCATAGTCAGTGGCGTCTCGGTCCGTTTGAAGTTGGCAATCAACTAGATTGCCTATCAACGCCCGAGGAACACGCTTGCACCCTCCTTACTCACCTCCTCCCTATACCGACCTCCACGACTCTCACTCCACCCCTCATCGGTACCACGTCGCCCCTTAGACTCTCACCTCATCCCCCCTCCACCTCCCCCCATTTTCGCAATTCCTCTCTCAATTCCTCCCTGAGTCTCGCGCATCGCGATTTTTCCCTCCTTTCAGATCGCGTCCTCTGCACGCTTCTGGAGAAACCTTTCAACAAAACGTTGTGCGATCGTCTACCGTTTTTTTTTCACGCCACAGGGTCGGAGACAAGAGGTCGTAGGTCGCGTGTGGCGTGAAAAATAGTGCGGGTGTTGCTAAGGAGCACAGACTGTAGGCAGGTCGATACTGATTAGTACTTCAAAGCGACTTCTGCACCCCTGTTAGGCAGATTTGCGACAAAGCACCAGCACTCGAGCAAAAAATCTTGAACAAATTAGCGAATTATGAATTCGCTTTGCTTTGTTTCCGCAAAAGTGCCCACGAACGTATAGGTGAACGAATGGGAGAGCTGGTGTTCTTGCTATATCACTGTTGTGTATTTACACGTGTGCGTAAGTGCCTTGCAATTCAAATTAGCTTTCTCCGATTAAATCCGATATTGCTAGGCTGAAGCGCGATTCGTTGAGATTCCGTTACTATTTAAAGAACTGCAATTCCAAAGCAAACCTCGAGTTCCACTCCTTAACTTCCATAATGAATTTTTCTATTGTAAAATTTTCAACGATTCCTCGATTTCATAATTATTTATGTATCGCCTTCCTTCTCCGATCTACGTCACGGTACCCGCTAATTATTCTGAAGAAGCTTACAAGATATTTCTAACGCCCAGCCTCTTTACACTGTCAACTTTTTACGAATTCGATCCTAACCCACGAAATAAATGACTCTGCCCCGTATGGAAAAACTTAAGAAGAGTCGTCGCGCAAAAGAGTAGTTTGTATAATCCTGAATGCAAATTAAATGAAATTAAATAGTTAATTAAAGCCTGAATGCCTAGAGAAGTTAATTGAGATTCTTGGGAGATTTGTCGGACGGAATGTCTTAATTTAGTCCCTTAAGCGTCCTAACTCGCCTTAACAACTTGGAATAATTAGACAACACTACCCCGGCGAGAAGTCGAGAAAATTCGTCGGCCATTCGAGAATTCCAGAAGGGAATCGACGTGCGTCCGCAGCTCGCGAAGGGATCCGACTCCAGCGTCGAATTACTTGCATCGGCACTGCGTTTGTCCATTTTGTATTTTCACGAGTGTGCACGCTTTGCCACACTCGAATGCGGATGCGACTCCGAATGCAAATGCGGATGCGGTTGCGAATGCTTGCCGACTCTGACATCCCTGAACGCGACTTCATTCATGATGCGCAGTCAGTCTGACGTAGAAGAGGCCCACTCTGGTTCGCGTGATTGCTCCCACTTTTCTCTGTTTTGCCAGAAATTATTTTCCCGCGGCTCTTCATCCCCTTAGTCCTCCCCCAGTACCTCGCTGGATCGTCTCATCGCCCAACACCCCCACCAGTGTCAATCATTCGCCCCACCCTAGCCGCGACCTAATCACATAATCTGCCCTAACAAATCAATCGACTCTCGAGGAAAGTCGCTAGAGTCCGCACCCGGTAAAGGCTGTCGATTGATTTCGCACTCGTGAAGATCGGCGACCGGCTGCCGTTTCCGGTCTGGGCGATCGATTCTGCGAAGGGATGGCTGGGCGGTCGGGTCCCGGTAGTAAAAGGGTGTCGTCTCCGTCTACAGCGAAGAGATGCGCGAAGGTGCTCGGTAAAAAAAGAAGAGAAAAAAAACTTTCAACTCGTACGATTTAAATGCAGCATCCAGTCACGTAAGAAATATCAAATCGACTTTCGTCTGTGCGTTAAACCTCGTAAATTTTCACCCTTTGACATATAGCTGAACCCACCGAGGGCTGATGGGGTGACCGAGGCTGCTGGTGTCGCTACTGCGGATGTTGGTACTGGCAGTGGTGCCTGTACTGACGTCGGTACTGATGCTAGGGGTAGTAGCAATACCAGTACCAGTACTGGCATCGATACTAGTAGTAGTAGACCTGAGCGACGTAGGTGCCTAACCCCTCGGGACTTGCGGGACGTTAATGAAATAACACGGGAATTAGTCTCGGACATTACCGCCAAACTATGTCCATTATGTACCCCATGTACAGTGACCGGCAAAAGTTCCACTCATCCCCACCAGTTCTGCCACTAACCCCCTTTCTTTCTTCATCGCCGAAGGTACTATCATCCGTTACCTGGCTGCCAATAGATTTAACCACAGTCGACATAATTTTGCCAAAAATGACCCCTGTACAATCTTACCTACACGTACACTCTCTGAATATTTTTATTATCAATCCCACGTAACCCCATGTAAGGTATACATTGAAAAGAAGTATAATCACTTTTTCTCCTATACGAATCTCCTTTTGACGAATGATAACAGAGTCTGTATATTATCAGCGCGAAAGTTACCGATCTTCGTTCAACGCACGAGACTAGCGTATTATGTGCAACGCGTATAAACGCACGTAGTGAAATACACACGAGAAGCGTGTAACGAAAGACGTATGCGTACTTCCAAATGTACATGGGTATGTCGTACGTACGTACATGCGTACGTAGCTAGGCGCTTTCAAGCGAACGAGCGTAAGTCGCTCAAATTGGTATGGATTTCCAGTCCAACACCTCGATTGTCCTCGGTGAAGAGTGCTTCGCGAGCATACATGAATTCACGCCTCGCGATACACACGCAGTCGCATACAGGACACACGAACTAGCGAAAGCTGTACACGATCGTATATGACTTATGTACACGTGCAACCCGAGTCGTTTCTCCTCGTGGTCTGATATACATATATATGTATATAGGCGTGGCCGTGCACGTTGCCAGTCTCTCGCGAGATCTCGCGACACACGTTGACAAACTCCCACTGACGTAACTCGGATTTCTCTCTCACTCGCACGCACACCCCTGCGCGTCTTGATTGCATGCCTCTGAATGCGTTTTCACCCGTCCTCTAAGTAGCAGCTCATTCCGCGATGCTCGCGGCTTTCAAAACGAAGGTATTCGTCGACGTCGAGGGGGCCCGCTGACGGAAATTTTTTTTAATGGATTCTTTTGCCACAAAATCCTTACCACTTTTCATACAAAAAACTATGTCATCTTTGTTTCTCCAAGATGCATCTGGCGTATGTGTATGGACCTAGGCGTTACTTTAACGTTCTTACTATTGAGTACAACAGTGTAGATACAGGGTATTCCGAAAGTCGTTGGAAGTACAAGGAACGTCGTTCTCTCACTTTTTTTTGTTGTGTATTCGACAAGGATGAAACGATGGTATTCGCCCTCGTAGGAAAATTTTGTATTTACTGGGTGACGGTGTGAAATTGACGGTTCTCTGAGGTTGATCATTTGTTAAGATCTTAAAGGTTGGGAACGCGTTACGGCGCTGAGATAAAGACCCGTAAGTTTCTATTGTGTATGTAGGGCGATACTTATACGTAGGTGGGTGCATTCGGCAAAGTATTTCTACGATGCGGAAGATTGCGTGGTTCATGTACGCGTAAGCGTAGGCGTAGCCGTCAACGTGGTTAAAGGTTGACGGAAGTCGATGGGCTTGAGACTCGGCGGTGGAAAATTGCACGTTCGAAGCGGCGAGATGTCGACAGCTAGTGAATTCTCAATGCGTGTAAGAGAGAGAGAGAGAGGGGGGGTAACGACAGGAAGAGGAAAAAAATATTGGAAAAGAGAGAAAGCGAATGAGTGAGTGGAACAGGAAGGGGACGAGTGCTGCTAAGCGTGCAGAAGCACACGCTTTCTAGGAAAAGGAGACGCGAGGAGGAGTTCTTTCAAGGAATAACCGCAAATCCCCATATAATACTAATAGGACCATAATAGGGTCAATAGGGTTTAGCCTCCCCCCTTTGACAATGAGATCTTGTCAAAATACTCCGGTAACACGAGACCTAGGAAGTGGATTTTCTGAATGGCTCTTGCCTACTTCTGCCTGCTGTCCCGGCGGCTGGCATTATGCGGTTTTCGAAAAATCTGAAACGCTTCGTGCCGAAGCTCTGATTGAGGTTTAAGTTTCATCTTGGGAAAGAAATGGAAGGGGACCAAAAACGATTTTGATGCTGGGTCCTAAAGAAAAACCGGATCTTGTGACACGTGCGATTCAAATTCCATAAGTGAACAATTCCTCATGGCGGAAGTGATTGTCGACACTGAATTACATCAGGATTTAGCAGAGGACCTATATATTGATTTTGGATATTTTTGAGTCTCTCTTTTGAACTATATGAGTTTGGGTCGCTAATTTCTTTTGTTTTAAACCAATAACGAAACACCTAAATTTACTTTGAAATCTGAGGCCTACTTTGGTGGAAGTTTATACGGGTTTGAATGTTTTTTAATGCAACGGCGAAGGATTATTCTGCCGGTATCTAAGGGCTTGTTAGACTCCATGGAGCGCGAACACATTTTCTGGGTTAATTTATCAAACAACGCGCAAACTCGGCTCTGACTCGACGTCCCCATTTTAAGACGCCGGCTCGTTAAAGTCATTTTAGGGTGGAGTTTGGCCTTCGTCCCAGGCTCTTCTGCCAGGCAACCAACGTTCCCCCATTCCTCTTAGAATCCCCTAACTTTCTTAGAAGGAGAGGAATCTTTTTCAGCCCCTGTTTTTCCCCCCAAGCCTTGGAACGCGACGACTTTATTAGAAAATGGCCGGGTCGAAACGTCTTAATACCCCGAGCACTGCTTTTCCTCGGCTCGATTCGCAGACTCTAGAACCTCGGGGAAAAGTTTTCAAAAAATAACTGAAAACTTACGCAGATCTCGAGTCCCCTCTGAAGAAACTCGGGAGTGCACATCAAGGAGCATATTCTCACTTAATTTCGTAATTGGAGTCATTTGAGTGGATAATTTATATGCTCGCTCTCAGGTTCGACAACCCCGTTTAGCCACGCGTTTACGTTGATAAATTTTCTTACCCCTATCGCAACGCCACCTACAACTTCTTTATGAATATGAAAAATCGCATTATTATTGTTATTATTAGACCGAAAATTAATCAATGCTCTTTCTCTGTCTTTCAGGATTTTCACAGTCGAAGAATACCTTTTCGAACACGAGTCCTGGTGAGCAAAATTAACATCATACTACGCTTTGGATGTAGAGTTTCGAATTTTCTTACCACGGGTCAAAGCTTTTTGGATTACAATTATTATTATTATTATCATCATCATCGTCGTCAGTCTGAATAATTCATGTTGACAGAAATTCGGCACGGGACTCTTTCAGTAACGTATCGTAATAATCGTCGTTGAAAGGTAGCACGGCCGCCATTTTAATACCGTCTGTGCCAGCTAATCGATTCCTGTGACGCTTTCCATAGTTACGAGGAGTACACAATTTTCAAGGATATGGCCAGCCATTTTCCAAAGCGTTGCTATCAGCTAATATTTTCCGGTTCCTAATAATTCCCAGTAGAAATTCACATTATTTTACACGTGTAACGAGTCATCGCGCGAATCATTAAAAATCAGCGAAAACAGTTTTGCCTGCGAATTTTCTTCAACAATGCTTCGTACGGGCATACGTGTCTACATGCATACGTAGATTAGACGCATTACACAAGTTTTCTACAGATGGCTGGGAAAGGGAAGTAAACGCGACGATGACGTCATAGACGGTAGAAAACTCATTTCGTATTCATGCACGCTCCTATGGATGATTCCGATTTTTCCGAACCATTAAGTCCCGTTCTGTCGCCCCACAAAGTGATGTCGTTCTGAACACGGAACGACAGGTTGAAAATGATTACCAGGATGACCTTCGAACAGGGTGATCATTCGCGTTCTAGTGTTTTTCTCTACCCTCATAAAAATTATCATGCATCGTTACCATAGCTAAAGCCGAAGAGTCGTTCGGATGAAAATAGTGAAAAATGCGTTAAAGTTTCAATAGCTGTGTTAGAGTATCATCGATTCGCGGTATAGGATCTGTGGGTAAAAAACTGTAATTGCTCTTTTTCACTTTCTCTAAATTCGAATGGCGACGTACGAACAAATTTAAAAAAGCCGGATGAATGGAAATAAATGAATGCGACTAAATATGCAGAAATTGCGAGCCGATGAATCGCGTATCCACTTGCGTATAGGGTAAATTATATAGCTATTTGGATAAATCGATCTTGTTTTCAATGCTCTCTTTACGAAAGACACTTGTGGTATACGCTTGTGTACAAGTAGAAATAATACATTTTGTGCCTGACTGTCAGGGCTCGATTTATCCTAAGAGACTGGAACTTATTTATGATCAATGGAAATAGCGGAAATCTTTAGAAAGCTTGAGATTATTTGATGCTTCCTTCTGGTACCTACCTATGCATTTACTCAATTCCTAGGTGGAAAGCTCGCGCGAACTTCTTGTGTAGCTCTATTGAACATCTTGTCAAAACATTTCGAAAAGTGGTCGCACGTAGACAGGAGCACCACGCCCATCTCGTTTGAAACGCTAATCGGTAACTGGAGATTTCCCTACGAAATTCGAATCCATTTGAGGCCCGAGACTGCCTATTATAATCCAGTGACCCTCGGTGATCATTCACGATGAGAATTTTAGGGACAATTTGAACGGATAGTACGTTGAGGCTGCCGTAATATAATTTTTCAAATTAACTCACGGCTATCAATTACAGTCTTATCCTTAAAGAAAATCAATTAAATTTAATTCGCTAAATAAAATATTAATTGCATTAAAAGTACTTTCTATGTGAGAGGATTAGGAGTATTATTATTAAAAATTTAGAATAATTGCAAAATCAAATTTTTTCAGCGTATACGCACAGCCGATAATTTCGCATAGAGAGATTCGAACCTTGTCAATCATAATTTTGCAAAAGTATAATATATATTCTATCCTATATGTCCTTAACAAGGAGTTTCCAAGAGAATTGGTTGTTTTAACAACTTCGGGTTATGAATTCGCGGCACTTTGAAAAAGCGGAATAGCGAGAGAGAGAGAGAGAGAGAGAGAGAGAGAGAGAGAGAGAGAGAGAGAGAGAGAGAGAGAGAGAGAGAGAGAGAGAGAGAGAGAGCCAGGGAGTAAAAGGAGAGCAAGGGTGGTCTTCGCGAGAACACAACTCGCCGAGGTCTAAGGAACATTTCGAGCGTAATAGTCCAATTTGTCAGCAAAGGAAAATAGCGGAGACGCTCAAGGATGAGGCAATGCCTGGTACCTATAGTGACGTTGGCCTTAGTATACTGGTAGTTGGTGTTGTGGAAAATTGAAAGGTAGGAAAACGCAATGAATATGGAAATTTACATTTTCCGTGCATTAGAGGACTGTTATCGTATAAATTAACAGAACTATATGGACGCGCCAAGTGAACGTGAAAAATTTATAATATTTGTTCATAGCGAAATAGACGACGAATAGTGAAATTAAATGTCGAATAAAGAATGCAAATATGGATAGTTGGATGAATGAAAAGTAAAGAAAGGAGTCTCGACTCTAATCGATTGAGATGGTCGGTTTGTAATTATTTTGAATTGAACTAAAAGGCGCAATTTTTGAAGCGACTCTATAAGGTTATAGAAAAAAAAAGAGAGAACACAGTGGATGTTTAGGCCTGAAGATACACTGCACACGTTTGCCATTCATTCTACTGAGTGGTGGTACACCTCCCCTGTCACCGCTCCCTTTATCCTGCTTCTCCTCCACCTCGTGTCCCACGTTGATGCGTCAAATAATTCAGGCTGCTCTGGAATCAAATAGCTACATGGAAATAATGGGACAAAAGAAATACATACGACTGGAATAGCTCCAAAATGCTTTTCAAGAAGGCTTAATATAAATTGTTATTAAAAGATAGGAAGTAATTTAATTTACTTGCCCAAACAACGCATAAACCCTTAAGTCATCTTTAATATGCCTAAAGGACGACTTTTGTTTAGTTTGATATCTGAAAGACGAATTTTGGATATTATTTATTGTTTGGATTTTATTTAATATCAAAGAACGATGCTCGAAAAATTATTATGATTGATAATGGAAATTAGGGTAAGGAATCGGCAGAAATATATCAGCACTTTGTAGTACTTTGAGATATTGATTTATATTTGCACGTGTATTGAATTGCGGTACTAAAGAATTATTATAACGAGGTTAAAGTTTTTTCAAAGACTTACTTAACGTCAGGGCATTCAAAGAGAAACGTTTTAATTTTAAATTATATTTGTGCTGTAAGCACCAACTGGAAATATGATAATAATTCGTATTTTAAATTAAACGATATTTTTTTTTATTGAGATTACTTCATACCGATCGATGCATTATATTTATTCAATGATAAATAAAAGTATCCTAAGAGAGAAAGTAAGATACTTTTATTTCGAAATTATTAGTCACACATATCATGAAAAAAATATAACTTGTTATTCTGACGTGTTAAGATATTACCAAATATATTGAGATTACTCGAAAATTCACGTCTCAGAGATTTCGGGTTTTTATCGTTCCCGCATTTCGCGTAATTGCAACGAGTAGTCGTCTATCTCTGTAAGCCATAGCAAGCACGAGTACAAGAGGAAGAGTAGGAGAAAAATCGAGAACGAGAAGAGAGCAGGAGCCTTCCAATCCAATCATCTCATTTCCCGGCGTATCGATTTCAGCTCTCCCTGAAATTCCCTTCGTGAAAAGAAACGCGTAAGACAGGAGAGACGAAGTAAAAGGAAAAGCCGAAAGGCTCCTTTTTATAAACGGTTTAAAATGATGCCCCGCTCCTTCTTGCTGTTCTCGTTCGGGTAGAAGAAAGAAAAAAGTAGAAAGGGAACAGGGGGTGAGTGGGGCAGAATAACACGAAATCGCGAAAGGATCAACGTATTCGGGTGGGTCGAGGGATGAAGGGACCAAAAACGGGCAGGATGCCTAAGAAAGGCAAGGAGGATAAACGAAGGATGAACCAAGTGGAGCCGGAGGAGAAGAGTGTGTGAAAATGTATATAGAAGGAGAGTGAATTTGTCAAATGAAAATTTAAGTGCATTCGGCTGTGTACAAGAGAGAGAACCTCGTCCGATTAGTGGAGCGCTTTAAACGAACCCTTAGAGAAATTTTGTCGGTAAGTCACCGTCGTTTCAAAGGACTTCTTTCTCGATGCCGAGCGAATTAGAGGAGTATTTGCGGGTTGCGTGCGAGGGGTAGTTTCAGAAGCAGCCGCAGGGGAGACTCGTGGAGTGTAGTTGGACGGACTCGATACGAGAACGAAACCAGTGGCAAACGAGGCAAACTAAGGAGGGAAACGTGCCTTGGTAATCTAGTCGTGTAAAATATGCAGAATTACATATAAATATTGAGAAAAAATATATCATCATACATGCTCGCCATTACAATCTAATTACAATTTGGTTATGGACTGTTGCCAATACCGTAATACAAAAAATCCGAAAAACGTGAAAATTCCTATACAAACATCTATCGGCGCTATTTTCGTAGCTACAGAAAAAAAACCGGGCTCGCTTCTCGAATACTCAAATCTAAGGAAAGAGATTCTCGTAAATGAATACAAGTAATATATATTTATACTATATGCATATATGTATGTACATCTTTTTTCATTATGATTGTGCCTGTCAATGACTCGAGATGCAAGTGTATTTTCGTACGTCTCCTTTCATTCGAGAGACTCCTAGGGGGCGGTCGAGGGGATGGCGGGGCAGAGATCGAGGGTAGCTACACCGGAGGAGGCGACAAAGATATTAATTAAGAATTAACACGCGTACTGAAACCACCCTTAATTAGTAACAGTCAGCGCCCGGAGCAGCGGTTTGTCTGCACGGACCGCTACTCCTGCTTCGAGCTACGAGGGTGATTCACTCGAAAGGCAATGCAACTGCGACGAGTACGTAAACGAGAACCTCAACAAGAGCACCAATCTTCACCTGTCGCTGCGTCGTCAGCCACCTTACAACGTTGACCTCTATTTTCTTATGAGACTTGGACAAGTTCTCCTTCTAGCTTGTTTATACAAACGATACTCTAGTCAATTTGGATCTGGGTTGAAATTGATTTTACAACATTTTTTTTTCCGACACAAATTTGTCGTTCCATCACTGGGTAAATTTCGTTAATCGTTAAT